GCAGTTTCTGTAAGCAGGGCAATAAAGATGAGGCTAGAAACAACTCCAGAATGTTTCCTTCCTGCCTTCCTTACAGGATTAGCCCTGTAAAGTGGAAAAAAACAAAAGGAGGTTTCTTCCAACAACTGGTTCTCCGAACTGCTTAGAAAGTTCACAACTGGTTCTCCCAAATAGGTGCGAACCGGCTGAATCCCACCACTGCCTGAATGGTTCCATTTTGTCCAACCTCTGATGCAATTGTGGGATTCCAATAGAAAAGAATTTCCGTCGTTCAGGGTTGAACTGTGGAGTTCTTGGTGCTCTCTAACCTTGATCGTTGGCTTGTAGACATTTCATTACTCAACTAGGTAACCTCATCAGTGCAAGTCACATTAATCAAGGTGAGTGACCAGCACTGATGATATTATCTGTTAGGTCAGTGTTTTTCAACCTTGGCGACTTTAAGTCCTGTGGACTTCAACTCCCAGAATTCCCCAGCCAGCATAGCTAGGGGATTCTGGGAGTTGAAGTCCACAGGACTTAAAGTTGCCAAGGTTGAAAAACACTGTGTTAGGTAACAAAACACCTGCAACCAAACAGCCAATTTTAGAGAGCATCAAGAATTCCACAAATGTGTGAGTTGAGACTTTTGGGTGGTGATGTTGTCAGCAGTGTTTTGGCATTTGACCGCACCCCGCAGAAGCATCTAAAACCCTTGGGCCCTTCAAATCCTTTTCCTGCAGAGTCTTAAAAGCCGTGTTTTGCTTTCTCCCTTTTTTGCAGCCAAATTCTGAAGCCTCAGAGCTACAGAAAGAGGAAAATGTTTTTCCAGCTTCCCCAATTTGGTTCCCTGATTGATTGATTTCAATCATCGAGGATTGCCAGTTGTTAGTAAAGAGCATCTGGACCAAGCTGCTGTTCATGCTATTTTTCTAATTTCATTAGGCCTGAGTGAAAATGGACTACCTGGATCGGCGGGAGCTCCAGGTGTCAAAGGTCAGCGAGGTGATCCCGGTTTCCAGGTTGGAGCTCCTGGTCCTCGTGGACCAAAAGGACCTGCAGGAGAAATGGGTAAATAATAGAAGTTGAAAGAGAGAAAATACTATAGTTCCTGTTCTGACCCCCCTCGTTCCACACCAACACACACTCTGAGCCAAAAATAAGTTACGGCATTTAATTAACAGACAGACAGGTCCTTGGCAGCAAACTGGCACATATAAGCTTGGCAGCAATCCAACATAGATAAGCCGTGGCAGCAATCCAGCCTGCCAAGCTCACAATAATGTTCTCCGACATTAGTTCCTGCATTGACTTCTGCAAGAGGGGCATGTGCAGAAGCAGTCTTTTTATACTCTGGAGAGGAGCCTAATGACCACCAGCTGAGTACAATCACCGCCTGTACTTACGCAACTGTTTCTGATGCCTATTAGCTCTTCGGTGCCGGGCATCCAGGAACAACTCACTGCTGATGTCCGGATCACTCTCCCTTGTCTCCTCCCCACTGGTCCAAGGCTCAGGCGCCTCCTGGTGGCCAACCAGCCTCTCTACGCCCTGCTCGGAGTCGGAACCCTATCCAGGGTCCTCCACATCCTCCAGAGCCGACTCATAAGGCCCCGCACTGTTGGAGTCTGGTGGCAGCTCCAACGGCTCTTGCTTGGCCACAACAGCCACCCATCTCACCAGAGGTGGCTCTAAGCAGCATACAGACATACAATGAAAACACACCGTAAAACATTAAAACAATAAACAGGGATCTTAAAATTCAGTTAAAATAAACTTGAGCAGCGAAGAAG